GGCAAAGTGGTCTTCAGACACTCCGTTTTACTTAAAGCCGACCGGAATTCGTCTGCAGGCACTCCATTCTTCTTAAGACCGATCTATCTTCGTCTATCGCCAGATCTTAAGTAACGATAACAATGGCGCTGTGAGGGTTCATCAAGTTTCATGGTAGAACCCTTGAGCTGCTCCAGGATAGTCACGCTACAGCTGATTATCCTGCTCACATTTCCACTTAAATCTTTTTTTACGGGAACTTTTTGACCGACTTCCTCTATCATTTTCTATGACTTTTGTTATATTCTGCCGACAACACTTTTTATTCGCATGCATATCATACTGATCTTGCAATCTTTGGTTTCCATGCTCTTTTTACTTTGCCTCTCCATCTCTGTTTATTTCCGTGGCGGTGTGATTTTCCACTAACTACCAAAGATTTTTCAATAACTTTTGTAATCAGGAATGCAAAAGTAGTCTAGCATTTTAGGAGTGTGAGTGAGTTTTCCTTAAAGATTCAAAAAGTAGGAATTTATCAAACTTGAAAAAACTGGAGTCTTTAAGATTTTGCCTGGAATTGGTGTGGAGCACAAATGTCTAAGCTACTGGAGACGTCGTTATTTTTTTGACGGACGATACGTGGGTGCTCGATCGCTGCAGCGCTCTAAATACGAAAGTGTGCAGAAGAAATGATGAGCTTCAAAAAATTAGAACTTTAAAGTAACAGAATAGGAAATTAGAGATAGGACAGTGTGCTTATTCTTGGAAAAAGTTATGCACATTCCAGTGCTTTTATTTGGCAAAGTCTAGTGTGAACTGAGATATCAAAGCATGTATCTTAGTGTCAAGGGGTACCCTGTGATGTACACGGTCGTTTGTTCGGTTCGATTCCACGCACGGGTAAGCGTAGTCCTACGTCACTCTGAGTATGGAAAACTGACACCGGACTTGTTTGGAAGGATAGGAACAGCGAACTGGCACAAAGGTAGACCAGGACAAGTGAATCTAAAAGAACAAATGAAGTTCTCGGGGTTGATCAGTCCTTGAAGGATGGGCCATGCACTCGACTTCACAAAGCATCGTTGGAGGTGATTGAATGCATATCTGACTGGTCTTTACAATCATTCGCGGTGGCCTATCGATGTATCGAGCCAGTGCTGCTATCCTCCCAGTTAAGTCTAGTACCAATTTGCCGACCCCAGAGGGATGGAGGGATTAGTGAGCCACTGGTGCGCTGACCGATCCCATGTGTATATTGCAGAGCTCCTCCGACCACTGCGCAACATGCGCCAAGTCCATCCAGTAATTCCATCCTTAAATTATTGACCAACAGCGAACACTCATCTTAATAAGCTTCGAAATTACTAGTTCTATCACCTCTTCGCAATTTTTTCACATAAATTCTATGTGACTCATATTGTTAACAAAAGGCAATAAAAAAGTGGTGCTGCTCCACACCATTCGAGCTTAATTTATGAACTCCACATTACATTTGAGTGTAGAATCCACCACTTATATGATTTTTGCAACTGATCAGTGAACACATGAGAGATTGTGTTACGAATTAGCTGAGTACGAACACTCTAACGATTTAAAGGGATAGATTGGCCTGGATTGAAAGGGCCAAGACGATTTTGGTGTAAGTGGTAACACAAAAAGTTGTGCTACCCTACTCAATTCCGGTTCCAAGATTTTTTGACTCATGAGCCAGAAATGTTTCTTCATGGGAAACATCCATTTCATCGCACCCCATTGCTTGCTTCCTTATGAATGCATTTCTTCGGTTTGTACTGTTAAAGTTTTACAAACGTTTGCCTTTTCGACTTCAATTCAGATTGCTCAGGGAAGTTCCGCTCGCCAGTCACCTGAACCAGTCCACATGGCTGAAGAGGAGGCGGCTGTTTGCGACACACCATTCCTAGTCCGCAGGCTGTCACGCGGTATTTCTTCTATACTATCTTCACAATAACAGGAAAATCTTTACACCGCTTCCATTCTTAAACTTTGGAAAACTTGAAAAATAATTTTGGAACGCAACTCTTCAACATTCGACTAATTCCGACTCTGAATCTATGATGACACTATGATGCTGAGATAATTGCAAAACTCCGGAGCGCTGGTGTCTGCGGTGGGGACCGAACACTGGTAGATAGAAAACTAGCTGAAAAAAGTCTTAACGAAAGATTTATATGATGTGGTGGCGAACGTGTTAGCCTCCGGAAAGGATAAGCGTTCGGTCCCTAACGCAGACACCAGTGGTCCGGAGTTTTGAAAATATCTCAGCATCACTGTGGTTATATTTTACATAATGCGCTGCTATTAAAAATTAGTAGGCACAAATAGGAATTGACGACACTATGATGACACTTTTCCAGGACATGGTACAGCTGCCGAATATCAACCACTTGTCTCTATTGAGAAACCAGTTACGCTTGCACTACTCGAATCGGATAGCATTGAACCGATCTCAGGTGCTGTCTAGTCGTTTCTGAAAAAGTTAACGTTTTCTTCTTGGGCACACACGGGCCTATCAATAACAAGATTCGTTTAATATTGACTGATATTTCGGTGGCTTCGCCTTCTTCAGAGCCGGGAAAGGTCAAGTTGACATGCAATCGTCTCAATCAAACGCTTTTACAACCACAACAAAAAATTTGGTGCATGAATTTCTACTCCTATGGTAAACAGCACGTGTAACGCAGTGGTCGGAGGCGTCCTGCAACACACAGGTGGAATCGATCCCCCCGCCTGTGGCCCACCCAGCCTTCCATCCTTCCGAGGTCGTCAAATTGGTACGGTAGTTGTCTTGGAGGATAGCAGCACTGGCTCGATAGACCGGTAGGCCACCGCGAGTCACTTTAAAGGCCAGATAAGCATTCCATCAGCTCCAAACGATGGTTAATGAAGTCCATGGCGGCATGGCGCATCCTTTAGGGATTGATCAGTGCCGACAGCTTTATCCTTTATCCTTTATCTTTTATGGAAAACAACTTTTTTCAAACACTCACCATTTCGTTTTTTGTAAGTCTTCCAGTTATCCTATGAGGACCTGATGCTGAGAATCTTGCATGGTCCAGGAATGTGCCCGGCACGTGTGAAAAAATCAGCTAGAGGTATGGCGCAAGGTCATGCGTGATTGCACGGACGCCTCCTCCAAGCAGGTTGATCTTTGGGTTTCTGGAGTTTTTCCAAAACGAGTTGTTTATACACCAAGACTCCCTCAACTTTTGCATATTTGAGGAAGAAACCCTGAGAATTCTTAACCCCTATTGCGATGGAAAGTTCAGTCCCACTTCCTAGCTGCGGAAAATGTGGCATTCGACAACTTCGAGAAATAATAATGACAAAATGACTAGATATCAATTAGTGATAGAAGTGGGAAGTAGCACTTATTCTTTGCCAGTTAGATGTTAAGATAGCGAAGAAATTTCTTCAAGGTGCTACCCTTTATCGCCTATAATCTGAAAAGGAATTGAGAAGTCAGTACAAATAAGCGAACAGAGAGCGGGTCAACGTAGGAAGCACGGCACGTTTAAATACATCAGTTATTTTCCAACTCAAAGTTGAATTACCAAAATGTCCTATCTTATACTTACTTATCAAAACTCATAAGCTAGTGTCAACTGATGATCTTATGTCCATCGAGCCTTCAAGGTTTAAGGTTAAACCCATAATTAGCTGTGTAGACGCGCCAACGGACAGAATAACATGGTCTTTAACCCTGACACTTATTCAGTTCGTAAAGCACATTCCAGCCCATCTTACGAACAACCAGGTATTCCTGGTTCGTCTACGTAACGCGCGTCCTAACAGCACTCACGCGATGAAATCCTTTGACGTTAGCGACTTTTATACAAATGTGTCGAATGGCTCCGCTATGAAAACCATCCACGAACTCCTTATGGAACGCGAAGAAATAATAAACATATATGGCTTCTCGATTTAGAAGTTCATGGCCCTCTTAAAGGGGTGCCCGAACTGATCAGTCCTTAGATCAGTCGGGAAGTGTTTCGCACAAATGAGAGCGTTAGCTACGGGACAGAAACTAACACCAAATCTTGCCATTGCATTCATTTCTAAAATAGAGTACTCGATTTTCATCCATTTTTTTCTACTGTATTTCGATAACTGTTCTGTTGTCTGTTTCACACAAAGGAAAGTGGGCAAATCTTTTGAGTTACTAAACGAACAGTCGACGGGCATGAACAATGCACCTGAGAGATGCGGAAAGGAAGTCAACTTCTACTCTTCGATATTTAAACTAACCTACCTGAAAACATCTGCTTTACAAAATGGTACCAAAAGTCAAGTAACAAAACTATACTGGTTTATTTCCCCTATTCTCATCTTTCACACACAAAAAGGGCTTTTGTGAGAAAAGTGTTTGAAACGGCCACTAGTGTACGCACAGGAAGAGAGCAGAAAGAAGAATTCCTAAAATTGGCCCATCAAGTATCCATTTCCAATGGCTACGAAACAGTAGCTTCTCTGGATAGGCGTAGAGGAGGAGCCGTGCTCTGAAACGATATATGTAGCGAGGATAAGGTCCTGTTTATCCCTTCGTTCATTTCGAAGGAAATCAACACGGCTATTAAACGTTGCTCAAAAAGAGCAGATTTAGAGAAACTGATAGCAGGGATTGAAGTACTATCGAACACTCTAAGATACCAGTTAATTCGAGTCTTCCTACTCAGACTATGAAAGTGTTTAACTTAGTAGACTGAGGTCAATTTGACCCTTATAGGCTCTGAAGAAGGCAAGAGAGCGAAACGCCGACTAGTACTGAATAAATCTTATTATTGACAATCAAATGTCTGCATCGAACGATTGTTTTGTGGTGTAAACGAACACACACGTCTGAGGTGACGACTGTCAAGTCATGCCAATCTTCAGAGTTTTTTTTATCTCTTTATTCTTAAAAAAGTTGAAATGACAAAGACAGTTAACCATCTGCACCTTTAAGGAAGAATTTTTCACTTCACTATTGCGGTCTTTAGTACATACAGGTCACATTCTCAGGTATGTCGCCGCGAATGGAGTCTCGCGTCTCCGCGTTGCGGAGTCGCTCGTCAGTCGTACGCGATCGCTGGGCGACGAAGATGGAGTTTTTGTTGGCCGTCATCGGCTACGCCGTCGATCTGGGAAACATCTGGAGATTTCCATCTGTCTGCTACAAGCACGGTGGAGGTTTGTAGGCGGCCTACGCATCGTGTCGGGCACCTCTTATAGCTTTTTATAGTGAGAGACTAAATTACCGATTGATGAAATTGAATTAGAAGTGTTGCTAGGTGCTTTTCTCATTCCCTACTTGGTGATGCTGCTCATTGGTGGATTGCCGATGTTCTACATGGAATTAGCACTCGGACAATTCCATCGATCTGGTTGTATCAGTATTTGGAGGAAAATCTGCCCAATGTTCAAAGGTGATATCGTTCTACTCAAATTAATGTAATTATTTTGTATCCCATTTCGAACTGTCGTTCTCTTCTATTTTTCACCAGATGGAAATCTTAACTAAATGTCACCTATAGATTTTACTTAGAGCGCATGTTTAGGAATCGGTTACGGTATCTGCTTCATTTGTACGTTCATCGCCTGCTTTTATAATGCCATTATTGCACATGCCGTCTACTTCATAGCGAGCTCAGTTTCGGTTAGTATAGCCACCTAAAAGATTCTGCGAAATTTTCCGTATTTTTCGTAACTTGTGCTCCACTTATCAGACGAAGTATATCGTTACCATGCAATATTTTTACTTTTTATTTCTATTTTATTTGACCTGTCTTCACTTCTACTGTGCGGATCCCAGCACTCCTCACATTCGATTCGTTTCCTCGCATCCATTGCCTACGAAGATCTGCCAACCTTTACGTGTGGTTTCGGTTGCTGCTTGCAGATTTTCATTTAATCTCGAATGTCGCAGAATGCTGGTCGAGCAATTCTCCATGGAGTCCTGAGATAGCCCGACTGGAGCATACCCAATTGGATTGCAGAGAGTGACCTTTCCCAGAAAAGTCTGGTACCAATTCCCCGACCCCGGAAGGATCAGAGGCCTGTTTGGTCCGGAGCGGAATCGAAACAGCACAATGCTTGTGATGACGAACATCACTATCATTGTGCTAACCGCCCCTAACCATGTAATGTGTGATATCAATTACATTTTATTTTGTTTTGCTTAATATTCGCTGTTTTGGCTTAGGCTTAGTTCTCGGAAAATTTCCAACACTTACTCATACCGTAACATCTGAGACTTCGGCCTAGTAGAGGACTTCAGGCAAAAAATCCAAATAAAAATCGAAACTCAAGTCCTGTAGTGAAGATGCTGATCGATTTGACAGCTTCACTTTCTTGTCTGCAAAATCAAATTGATTTCCATCTTACACATTGCCGAAGACCTCAATTCATTTGGACTTTCACTTAAGGGCACGTTATGGTCAGTATGACCTCTACTGAAGTCACAGCACATCTAAGTGTCTGAAATTGGAAAGTTCTCAAATTCTCAATGTAAAGAAATATAAAACTGAATTCTGATTTTTTATTTGAACAGGTGAGAAATCTTGCGTTTGATTCAACCAACTGCGTAATCTGTTATATTATGAGCGACAATACCAGATTCGTGCATTCAGTTTTTAACGTTTTCCAGATACGAAGAGCGTCGTGTTTTGTTTAGCAACCTACGTATATACGTATAACCACAATGACGCTGAGATATTTCCTTTCTTGGTGACTGTTGATGCCACCGTTAGAGTGAAAAACTGGCCGAGAGAAAGGCACAGAAATGACGTCAGTGGTTCCGTACGTAAAAACTGAGCTGCTGCGAAGGGTAATCCTGGTTCGATTTAGCTACGGATCCAGTTTTTGCAAATGTATCAACATAACTGGGATTATATTTTACATATTACTCTGCAGTAAAATAAAAGTAGGCATTAGATAAAAGTTATACATTATGCCCTCTCAACGGTTTACCGTCTCATCGTGGATAGGAGGTGCTCCTTGGTATCAGATTACGATGTACAGCAAGGGCTCCCGAGTTGAAAAGGAGTCTGCCACTTTCATCAGGAATCCTAGCTAAGAGTAAACCAATACCAGGACCCATCACCGTCTTGGTATCAAAGTCGCTTGGTTGCAAATCTTCCTCTGAGCCACAAGGATTGCGACTGTCTGTGGTGGTGAAGACCTAGGGCAGACTTTGGCCAGGCTGACCTCGAGAATCTAGGAAACCACAATGGCCTAGCCAACAAATCTCCGAAAAATGGAGATTATGGTGGCGTCCGCACACAAAATGAGGACGGACCATTTAAGTGTGAAGTGTCAAGTATATATTATATGCACAAATACATTATATAGGGACGCGTGTGGCCCAGTGGTCGGAAGCGCCATGCAACACACACGTGGAATCGATCTTCGCATTCATGGTCCACCAAACCTTCCATTCCTCCGAGGTGGGCAAATTGGTAGTAGACCTCCCTGGGAGGATAACAGCACTGGCTCGATACATCGGTAGGCCACCGCGAGTCATTGTAAAGGCCAGATATGAATTCAACCACCTCCAACGATACTTAATGAAGTCGAATGCATGGCGCATCCCTCAAGGATCGATCAACGCCGAAAGCGTTGTCCTTTATTTATCTTTTATATGTATATATCTAATAAAATTAAGACTTATGACAGGATGGTCGTTGGTAGTTTTAGGCCAAAACGAACGAAATTTTCAGAATAAATTGAGGAAATAAATTACGAGTTTTGCATAAGGCTGAAAATCCTTTGCAAATGGGAAATTCCAAAGTGCAGGGAATATTCCGGATGTTCCAAAATCTTGAATTTCATTATCAATCTGACTCATCAGACAAACTGCTTAGTGGCGGAACGCGCGTTATGGTAACTTGGTGGAAAGTTGACTATGCAAGGCCAGTGCCTCGCTTGTCGTGGTGCTTCGTACGTGAGAACCCAGAAAAGGTGATGGTGGGTTCGAAGCCCAATTGAAGTTCCGAGTTTTGTTCTTGTTTCGGCGTTCTTGTGGAAAGTTAGATAATTTACCAAAATCGTAAACATTTTTCCAGCAATTTGAAGTGCCATGGAGGACGTGCAATAACTCATGGAACACTTTGTTCTGCACCAACACGCTGAATGTCACATTCGGAAAGAGTGGCGAGCGATTGACGACACCAAGCGAGGAGTTCTATTTGTTGGTGTTTGCATTCATATTTATTTATACGACAAAAGATCGAACTTCTATGAATTTCTCGGAAACTGAAACAAAGCGGGCAACATATTTTTTATCGGCGAAAACTATGAAGTCATTTTAAAAAACAGCTCTGCTTCGCCAAGGCAAAGATGTATTCCTAAGTGTTTGGATGCGTTGTCAAGCAAGGAAACGATACTTCTGATATCGTCAGACAGACCGAGAATGAGCTCTACCTTTCTATCATAAGGTATATCCAGCAGCAGACCATTGTTGGTAGTCGCTGCCGTCCACGCAAGGCAAATGTGCTCACGTGGCGGTAAACCTCTCTGTTTGTCCTAACGACATAAGATCGCACAATCGTTTTTGGACTAGGAGAAGTAAAGATTGGAGTAGGATAAAACCTTACCTAACCAGCAAAATATCAATCTGATTTAGATTGTGTTAGGTCCCGCACGAACCATTCTGAAGAGACTACGTTAAGGCTTCGGGAATTCACTCACTTCTTCTAACCTTGATTTCTGGTGTGTTAAACATGAATTTAGTTAAAAAGAGTAGTTCAATCGATTTCAGTTACCAAGTGTTGGAAATCCAGAAGTCCTCTGGATTTGATGACTTGGGTGGAGTGAAGCTGTCGATGGCTGCATGTCTTGCGTTTGTTTTCCTTCTAGTCTATTTTGCACTATGGAAAGGACCGAAAAGCTCAGGAAAGGTACCGAGTTTTACCTGAATTTCCTTCCTAATCACGAAAAATGTTTCTGTATCCCATTATTCATAAATCAAAGCGAAGAAATAATTGTTGTACTAGAATATGGATCCTTTCGATTATTCTTGCTCTTTCATTTTAAGCATTCCAAAATCATTCTCGAAAACTGATATTGAGAATTCTTTCATTGAGGAGCTTACTGAACAGCGCCGAGGCTGTTTGGAACTTGGCAGATGAGGCAGGGGAGCAGTGTCTTTGCAAAATTATTGTATTCAAAACACTTTGAAGTTCAGATGGTGTGGATCACTGCCACTGCTCCGTATGTCGTGCTAAGCATATTGCTGGTTCGTGGTGTCACACTTCCAGGAGCCGCTAAAGGAATATACTACTATCTTACGCCCGACTTTGCTAAACTTAGCGATGCTAAGGTTTCTTTTTATTTTATTTTATTTGAATCGTCTTCACGCCTAGTGTACGGATCCAAGCACTTCTCACATTCGATTCCCTTCCTCTCATCCATTGTCAACGAAGATCTTCCAACTTTACGTGTGGCTTCGGTTGCTGCTTGAGGAATTTCATTTCATCTTGAATGTCGTAGAATGCTGGAGAGCATTTTTTCCTGGACTCCTGAGACAGCCAGGCTGGAGCGTTCCAAACTGGATTACAGAGAGTAATTTTTATTTCCCGACAAGTCAGGTACCAATTTCCAGACCCCGGAGGGATGAGAGGCTTGGTTGGCCCAGAACGGAATCAAACTAGCACCATGTTCGTGAAAACGGATATCACTACCACTGTGCTATCCCCCCTTACGATGCTAAGGTATAGCATATTTCTTTGGAACTAATGAAGCAACCACTATCAGTGCCTTCCTAAAGGATCTTGCCTTTAATTTCATAGAGGTGGTTATAAAAATCTTGCTATTACAGAACGTTTACAAATATAACAAAAGCAACAGTTATTTTTTATTGAGTTTGTAACAAACGTCAGATGGATATGTCATCCATCAGTAGCGAGGCAATGTGGTGCTCTCCAAGGTGGCGGATTAGCGGGCCATTAGCGATCCTGGAGTAGGAAGTGCGCTTGCTGTCTGTGCAGTACAGTTCAGCTTGCCATTGATATGCGTACCTCCGAAAGTGTCTTTGCACGGAGATTCACCCAAAGTCTGTAGTCAACTTGAAATAGATATGAGGCCTTCGACAAATAAATCCCACGTCTATATTTCGTTTTCTTCATGGAATTATATGAGATTGTTACAAAGAACTCTTTGGTTTGGCTAACGTTTTGACGCCTTCACTTTGCTCGGAGCCGCAATGATTAGGGTCGAGTGTCCAAAGCGGTAGCTAGCCTCTTGCGATGTGGATATTTGTAGTCGCATTAAGCGGAATGCAGCGGAGTGGAACACCGCACAAAATACACCGCCATTCACGGTCGCCAATATTATTCCTTCACGGTAGTGCAGGACAAGTTGTTACAGCCGCCTGTTAACCAAGAACGGTTTCGCCCACGAAATCTCGCCGAGCAAATTTGGTTCCTTACAGAGGACGACGTAGAGTTGACGTCCACATTCATAAGTTCATACAGCAGTTAAAAATGGAGTTTACTAATGTTCATAGAAATAGAAACAAAATAAAAACACCACATAGATTTTAATAACTTTCATCGGGTACTGCATAGCAAACTTATGAGCTCGGAAGAGATTTTAAACACGCTCCGTTAACTCACGCTCTTTAGGTGTGGTCAGCAGCAGCGACGCAGATTTTCTTCTCTCTTGGTCCAGGTTTTGGAGTTCTGCTGGCTCTCAGCAGCTATAATGACTTCAATAATAACTGTTACAGGTTAACTGCTTTTTTATAAATGTGGAAAATTTACTGAAATACCAATACTTTTCCGTCTAGAGACGCTATAATCACTTCGTCTATCAACTGCCTAACATCTTTCTTTTCGGGTTTCGTAATCTTTTCAACTCTTGGATACATGTCGGAGCTAACGAACAAAGATATCAGCGAAGTAAGATTTGAACATATTTTCCATTTTTTAATTACTTATAAACTGATGGAGGCTTAAAGCTTTGTTGGGAGAGCCCCGACTACTCACCAATGTAGGTTGAGCAGTGCCGTAAAACTACGATTGAGTGCTAAAGGTTATCGTAATTCGGTACTATGGGGTAAAATTATGCAACAACTAGGAACGACCTTTATTTTCTATGTGTGGCACCTTTTTTATTCTTAATTAATTCGCTTTCGTATGTCCCAAGCTCGACGGAACGAATATCTACGAATGCTCCAGTTATGTCTATGTAAATCGGGAAATCAACATGTTGAACGACTTAGCTCCACAGTTGAGCAGAAGGAAACGAGCAGCTTGGGGAGCTTTCAAGAGCATCGAGGATGTAGTTAAGAGCACAAAGAACATCCGACTCCGTTCCCACTTTTTCGACTCAACGGTACTTCTTGCCCTTACGTATGCGTCAGAAACCTTGTCGATGCGTAAACAGGATGAAGGATCACTCAGTGTTATCGAACGCGCAGTCGAAAGGACGATGCTGGGAGTAACCCGTTTCACACAAGTAAGGGATGGGATCCGAAGCCCCGACCCGCGTCAACGATCAAAAATCAAAGATGCCGTTCTGTACGCCAAACAGTTGAAGTTAAGGTGGGCCGGACACGTAAAGGGTATGAATGACAACCGATGAAAAAGAGCCGTTAGTGACTGGGTTTCTCTGGATGTCAAACGTACTGCAGGAAGTCCACCGACCCGATGGTCAGAGTTCTTCACAAAGAGCCTAGAAAAAAGACACGATGCTCGACGAGTCCCTACAGCAAGCAAAACCCATTGGGCTACTCTTGAACGTGACAGGGAAAAATGGAAGATTTACTGGCGCCCGCTCCATTCACTCGACGATCAACGGGACTTCAGGTGATACAGTTGAAATAATTCGCATTATACTGTTGTATTATTGTATCATATGGGGGACGAGAGTAACGCAGTAGCTTGTGATGCCGTTGATCAGGAAACAAAGGCGCCAGCGCGATGTCCTCTCCAAGGCTCTCCCCAATTAATTTGGAAACACCTTATCCCCCACATTCCCAAGATTGCAAGGAGAATCGACTCGAGCGACATTCTACGGCATTGATAAAGGCAAAATCCTCAAGCAGCAGCTGAAACAACAAGTGAAATGTTCGAAGACCTCTGTGGACGATAAATGCGAAGAAAACAAATCGAGTGCAAGAAGTGCTGAGATCGGCAGAGGAGAAGCAGTGACGGGTCATGTAAAATGAGAAAAATTCTATTATATTGTAGCTTCGGACAGCGAACAGTGTGTGCAAAGGGAGAGAGCACAAGGGAGAATTCTTCAATTTGGCTCAGAAAGCGGTTATTTTAAAAGGCTATGGAACGGTAGCCCCTCGGAATTTAAAGGAGAACGGCGCTCCAGGAGTAAGTCTAAGTCTACCTTTTCTTGACGTCATGGAGGTATTTGGCTGACTAATTTACGATACATATCATCCCTCCAGACTCGAAGGTGAAGTCCGCCGAAACGTTGGCTTTTGTTTTGTGGACGAATGAATAGGGAAACAAAAACCTCGTATTTGCTAAGCAAGAGAGCAGTGGATCATTGATCAATATCGAGATTAACAGGAAGTTGATCTTGGGAATCACACAGACTGTCCCCTTCATCTCTGAACTGATCTTAACCTTTTTATTTACTGCCTATTCTTTTTTTAACGGCAGGGTATTTTGCGAAATATAAGTACTATAATACTGGGATATTTGCACCATGGGCCCTTCGTTTCGCCTGTTTCTGAGCTAGTCCTATCGATCTTTTACCATCAGCAATCACCCGTCAACGGGATTGATCTGGGGAGCCCAAATCGGTGTTGAACCCAGTTAAGACAGAAAGAGAGACAGGTGAACCAAGGACCCGCGTGGTGTGGTGGTGAACGCGTTACTCCGCGGAAAGGACAGTAGCGCGTTCGTTCCCTGCCGCAGACACCTGCGCTCCAGACTTTTGC